GGATGCAGTCAGGAAGGCCAACCATACCTTGTCATGCATCCACAGAGGCATCTTGAGCAGGTCCAAGGAGGTGATCCTCCCCCTCTATGTGACACTGGTCAGGCCGCAGTTGGAGCACTGCGTCCAGTTCTGGGCGCCACACTTCAGGAGGGATGTGGACAACATGGAGAGGGCCCAGAGGAGGGCCACTCGCACGATCGGGGGCAGCAGGGCAGGCCCTACAAGGAGAGGCTAAGGGACTTGAACCTGTTCAGCCTCCACAAGAGAAGGCTGAGGGGGGATCTAATGGCTGTTTACAAACTAGTCAGAGGGAACCAGCAGGCATTGGGGGAGTCCCTGTTCCCCTGAGCACTACCAGGAGTGACTAGAAATAACGGTCACAAGCTGGCAGAGGGTAGATTCAGACCAGACATCAGGAGGCGCTACTTCACGGTCAGGGCGGCTAAGATCTGGAACCAGCTTCCAAGTGAAGTGGTGTTGGCTCCTACCCTGGGGATCTTTAAGAGGAGGATAGATGAACACCTTGCTGGGGTTGTTTGACCCCAGTACATTTTCCTGCCATGGCAGGGGGTCCGACTTGGTGATCTGCTCAGGTCCCTTCCGACCCTACCAACTATGAAACTATGTCTCTCTGCATCCAGCCCCAAAAGTACCTTTGACAACCTCCGATTGAAATATTATGGCTTTTAGTGGACTTGCTAGTGCTGCTACAGGATTAGTGCTTGCATGGAGACCAACTTGGATGTGGTACCCAGACCCACCGGTACAAAAGGAGGATATAATGACAATAAGCTTGGATGTAAGATTTGCTGGGATGAGCAGAAACTGTAATTAGAGAAAAGCTTTACTGGTATGGCACACCAAAAATGATTCCCAGAGACTTTCCTAATACGACATTAGCCCTTTAAGTCCCACCTTTACCTGAAAGAGAGGGCTCTGCTTTTCTGCACCCGGTGCCTTGTCTATCCAGGAGTCCAGTTTCAATGTGTTGCTGCTCTGCATAACCACAGGAAACTTAGCTGCCAACGTAGGTCTGCTGGATACATGTAGCTGTTGCTCCTGTTGCACTATTTGAAGTTTTTTCAATAACTCTTGGGGTGAAATCACCCCAGAACTAGTTGGCTGGTTGCTGGAGAGAGAGAGTGGCTGTCTAGGAAGTTTGGGTGGTTCTTTACCAAGGGTTTGAGGCCCTAAAGTCTGGGTAGGAAGGCAGCCATTGAAATATACAAGATGTGGCTGGGTCATGTTATTTATTTGTGTTGTTGATGCTGCAGCTGCAGGAGTTCTGCTGAAGACTGAAGCTGTTGAATTTACAGGTCCTGTAGCACTGGGGTCCATTTTGGTCAATGATCCGGACTGGCTCTGCAGTTGGTGTAGCAAGCTCTGAGTGCCTGCTGTATCCTGCACTGGATGAGATGGAGCAATACCATGAGAAGTTACAGGTTGGAAGAGTCCAGTAAAAGCCTCCCCAACAGAATGGACACTGCCATTTTCACACATCCGGTTCTCAGGAAATTCAGCCAGTGGGTGAAGGTCTGTCCCCCGTACCATAAGTTTCTGAATGGCTGGACAAAGCTGCTTCTCTGCTGAGGGTGAATGTCTGCTGGGTTCCTCATAGGACAGTGAGCGCACTACTCCCTGCCGCATGGAACATTTCTCTTGGTGCTGTTTTTGTGACTGATCTGAGACATCCTGGTATGGGCTAGGTTTTTCTTGTTTTCCAAACAGTGCTGTAAGGGACAAGTGCTGTGGTTCAGAATCCAGGCTCTGGGGGCAGGGGGAGACAAAGAATAATCACATTAATACCATTCCTGTGTTCTTTAAAATACATTAACTGTGTAAAATCTTTAGCCATCAAGTATTTATGGACAGCCAGAATAACTTTCTCCTATTAGTGGTTCTCTCAGATGGGAAGGGTAAGTTATTTCAAATAGCTTTGAAACACCAGGTGAGGATGAAAGATAATGACAATCCAGAAAGAAGACACCTGGTCTACTCATATCTAGAAAGAAGGTGCTTCCCATTACAGTCATTACTAAAATACTAAAAAAAGCTCTAAATTCTCATGAAATAGAAAAAAAATGGAGCCTTCTGCCCACTGGGAAGGGAGTGCCAGTTTCTGAGTCTCTTTTATCCTTAGATGTATTTTGCTGGATTTTAGAATGTAAAGCAGGGGTGTCAAACTCATCTGGTCCTGCATGCTGGATCCAGGGCTGGTCCACATCAGGCCCACATACTGGCCCCAGGTGCCAGACCCAGCATGAAGGGCCAGTTTGGCATGCGTAACACATGCAGTGTACATCCCATGCAGCCTGAACCCTGGACCAGGGCCAGTGTGGGCTGTATATACTGTGTGGGATTGGCCCAGGTGTGTATGCTGCAAATGGCATGGGGGCTGATCTAGGGCATGTTCTACAGGCAGCACCCTGCCAAACCAGACCTGTGCATTGGTTCTGGGGCTGGTCTGAATTGGGATCCCATGTTCTGGAGCCAGTGCACAGGGCCAGGTCTGCACAGAGCCGGTTTTGTGCACTTACCCCATGCTGGCTCTGTGCACAAACCCTGGATTGGGTCTAGTGTACACTGAGGGCATGGCTGATTTGAGGCATGCACTGCATGAGATACCCGTGTCAGGCTGGCCCTGTGTGCTGGCTCTGTTGCATAGAGCTGGTCTATGGATCTGATGCAGCATGTGGGGCGAGACCTGGCATATCCCACGTCAGCTGCGCAGGGTTGGTCCAAGATCCATGGGCTGGATCTTTGACATCCGTCAGGTAAAGTATTTTAAAGATGGATCAAAAACATTAAGCATGTTTGAGCAAGCAGAATTTTTTATCACTTAGATTATATAAATGCTTAAATAAATAAATAGGAAAAACTGTTGTCCAGTGGCCCATGAGGGGTTATCAGAGGATGACTGCCACATCCTTGAAGATCAATATTTTCTGTACATAAGTATATTGCACCTACACTTAATACCTGAATTTAATATAGGAGAATTACTTTTTGCAAAATAGATACCAATTTTGGATTTAAACAACTTATCTTAGTTCCACCTCAAATAATTGAATGGATTATCCGCATTGTGCAAGCATCCTCACAAATCTAGTGTCTTATGACAGTGCTAGGCAGAGGGCAAATACAACAGTGTACCTTGCCTTGTTGAGGTATTCGCTGGTGCTGATTTTCACTGGGCTTCACTGGGATTGGTTTGATCAGGTTGGGGTTGTCATAAATAGCAGAGGAACTGGTTATTTGTTTGGGCTCTGAACAGGTCTTACACTGCAGTGGGAAAAACAAATGTATTTTGGAGTGAAAGAAAATCCTTTTTATTCCAAAAGGGAAATTTTACACTTACACTATATCATCAGAAAATCAAAATGAGGTTGCACCTTCAAAAGAGCAAACCGTGGTTACAGAGCTGACAAATAATAAGGAAAAAAGATCAGGACACTGAAGGGAGAATAGCCTCATTTTTTAGGAGGTGGTGGTACATACCAGAGTAAGGACTGACTCCAGCTAGTATCCACAGAGACACCAACCAACTATTATCCACAAATTATGAGTTCTGCAACTTGGGATACATTTCTATTTCACTAGTGTTTCTGGATGGATTGCCCAAAAAGGAAGATGAAAAAATCAGAAAGGCAGGAAAAGAAGTGGAGAAAAAGACAGGCAAAATACACAAGGGTCTCAGCCCTAAAGTTGATATCTTATAATTTTCCCTATTGAGAATTATATAGATAAATCTAGAGATGGTTTTTATAAAAAAACATAATTTGACAGAGCAAACGGACACAACAACAGCAGCATACTGCTTAAAAATGGTCCTGTGCCAGAAGGGCAGGTACACATCTACAGTAGGACTCGGAGGGAAAAATCATTACAAAGTATAACTGTAGTTCAGCTTCCTTCATTTGGATTTTTGTTATTTTTGCTTCAACCTTTAGTGCAGATCTGTTGCCTGGAGAACTGTCTTCTGGAAGCACAAGAGACATGCTGGGGAGGGGGTACCTGAGCCCAGATTAAAAAATCCCAAATCCAGTTCCTGCATCTTCCTTCTCTTGTACTTATTTGGCACAGAGGTGGAGACTCCTTCAAGCACTAGGTTTGAGGAAGCTTGAGACCCTAAAAGTAAGTTCTGCCCTGCAAGGGAAACTGCAAGTGAAAGTTAAGTGTGAGGTTATTACAGAATTGTATACTGAATGCCTTTGTAGCTAGGCTGGGGTGGCAGAACTCATTCTCCCAAAATATTTTTCTGTGCGAAATCCTGATGGTCCACTGAAGGCACCTCAGAATGTGATATTTTAAATATCAACCCCTGTGCAAACTGTAGCATGCCACTCAAATAATGAATTATGGGGCATCTTATTTCAATGCTAAATGCCACAAGGTCAGATGAATGGCAGTATTTAAAAGAAATGTGGGGCTAGTTAAAACTTTGTTTTTATTTTTTAGTTCACCTTGTAAACATTTATAAATGGATTGTTTAGAAAGATACCATTAGAGAAATAATGCGAACAATGAATACAAAAGCATATGCCAAGGTCTATAAAATACTATGGCTTTTGTTTTAAATAAATATTTCTGTTGCATTTATGACCACCGAGTTATAACTACCATTGTTTTGTTCATTCACCTAGCTTTGTTTGGCCACTTTGGACTTGACTAGCTTTAGCAATACTGTTTTTGCACAAATATTGCCTGCTTAGTTCTCACACCCTTTCCCAAATCATCTGAAGGACACAAAAGAACATTGATCTTATAGAACAACACTGAAAACTTTCTGCTATGGTGAAAGTTTATTAGTTATTTCCTACTCCGTTTTCTGCATCTTGTTTCTGATCCATGACAGCACTTTGCCTTTTGTTTAATGGCTACTTAGCTTTTTGTGAATTTCTATATCACAGTTTTATTGAAAATCTAAATAAAGTGCTAACTGGCTTCCCTCATCTATTATTTCATATAAGATTGTAATGAATTAGTTACTCACAATATTCTTTTGCAGAAGTTGTGCTGATTAGATCTATTCCAATAATTTTTATGAGCCTAAAAAAAGTAGGTTAAAGACCTATTGTCTTTTATAAACACAATCTAATCAAGTAATGTAGTAATAATTTGTAACAACAGCTTTTATATGCATAGAAAAAGACACACAGCCTTTTCTCTGTTCTCCATTGTCTATAATAGTCTGCCCCTCTTCAACACAATCACTGTTGTTGTTGTTTTTTACCACGGTCCTAATTTGGGAGAGCACAAATACATGCATACATTCACTGTAGTTCAGGAAAGCAGGTAAGTACATGTTTGTAAATTTAAGCATGAGCTTCAGTCTCACCGACTTTCCTGTGAATTAAGAAATTTTAAGTTTTTTCTTCAATTGGGGAACTGAAGTATTTTTGATAAATGTTGTGACCTTGAATTCTGCTATTAAGCTCTGCCTGATGCTTGTACTAAGTCTCAATAACAAGTGGTGGAGAAGAAACTAATCCCTAATTAAGCTGAAGGACCCCAATATAAAGAATGCTCAAAGAGTGGGCACTATGTGCCAAATTCCTCAAGGCTGTGTCTGCCATCAGGGTTACTGAGATGAAAGATGATCAGGCCCAGTGGGACCTCCTGACCCACCCTGGTATCAGCTAAAAGCTAACCAGGATGCTGACACTTGATCAGGGAACTGTGCCAGAGAAACAATGAGTTTTGAAGGTTGGAAAGGAAACTGTGACCATCAGAATCTGGAACAACTTTGTCAGACTGGTAAAGCATCCCTGCCAATGAACAAGTTTGAGAGGTACCAGAATGACATCATAGGCTTCTTGGAAATCAGGTGGACAGCAAGGGAGATGCTTCAGACAGCAAAATCACATTCTTGGATGATAATATGAAGCATACAAGCAGTAATGACATGATCCTTAATGAGGACAGAAATTTGCTGACCAGATAACAACTTAAATCAATTTGAGGATCAAAACCAACTTCAGAAGTCAGTTTTTTAACTTTATTGTGCTCCTATGAATGAAACTGAGAAAAAGAAAATCAAACAATTTTGGGATCAGGTGAAGAAATGCCTAAACTTCCTACAAAATTCCATGCTTTAGAATTCTTGGGTATAGCTGCATTGGCCTAAAGACATAGGCAGGCAAGGTTCTTTGGGTAGATGCGATATCTTTTATTAGACCAACTAAATAACTGGAAAATTTGCTCTTTGCAAGCTCTTGGGCACAAACACCCTTCTTCAGGCATAGTGTCTGTTGGTGAATTGTGTGTTATTTTGGGCAGAACAGAAACCAAGAGAGCACACAATTCACAAGCAGACTCTTTATATGCCTGAAGACGAGTGTTTGTGCCCAAAAGCTTGCAAAGAATAATTTTTCCAACTATTTAGTTGGTCTAATGAAATATATCACATCTAACCAAAGAACCTTGTTTGCCTAAACATCGTACAGGAAGACTTGTGTGTGGTGAATAGTAAGTAGAATACTAAGATATATAACAATACTAGATCAGGGGGTGTCATGGGCATGGCATCAAAAAATGAACATGGTGAACAACTGCTGCACTTTTGAGATTCCCTGGCCTTTACATTTCAAATATGGTATTCAAGTTCAACTTGAATCTCAAGTGGACCTAGAAAGCTTTGAAACACATTGATAAGAATATAACTGTTGTCTTGATAAATAAATGGCAGGGAAACTGGAAACCCTGGTCCTAAAGTATTCAAAAGCAGACATTACATTATAACCTTATGTTTTGCAGCAACTACTTGAACAACACTTGAAGTGACCCCATTAAAAGCAAGAACTGTGAATGTAAGTTGAAGATGAAGGCATCCTGGACAGGCCTGAGGTGAGAAAGAAGGAGAGGATCAGACCAGAACTTGGAAACCTGGCCTGCAACTGATCACTGAGGACCAGCTAGAAGAGACTGAGTCCTGGAATAAGCGACTTTAGATGTACCAAGAAGCATGAAGACAACAGAGATGCCTGGGTTATCAGAAGACATTTTTAACCTAGCTGATGGAGAGTGGAAAGCCAAGGCAAGTATATAATGTCAAGATGTTAAGTGCAGGCATATAAGCACCTTGGTAGAAAAATCAAGAGGTGTACTAGGATGGAGAAGAACAGCTCAATGAACAGTGCTGGAACATGAAGTTTCTGGGAGAATGCAAATTGAACAAGGCATTCAGAATAGCAAGGATGATGAAAAGAAGCAACCGCCCAAACTCCACAGCATTTTGGAGAGCACCCTTACGCTCTCTGAAAAGAAAAACACCTTGAAGGTGCATGTCTAAGACCATCAGTGTCTTTACATGGACAATGCACATTTCATCTTTTGATCCAGAGACTTGGAAACTATGTTCTACCTGAAAAGGACAATGACAGGGATGGTATCTTGCTGAAAGCACAGTCAGGAAGCTGAAGAAAATGATTTGGCTCTTTAGGCTCTTAAGTGACATTTAAGCATCCACGTTGCTTTTGAAAATGGCTCCTCTGTCTCTCAGGCCTTTTAAAATTTTCTTGCTAGACTTAAAAGTAAGCAAACTCTTGAATGCATTAACACTTAATTGGTTATCTTGTTTGTTCCCACCTTGTGGCTCATAAAGCTTTTGTTATCCTCCCCAAACATAGGGGATGAAGAAGGGAAGGAAGCAAAACTTCCAACTGATTTCAGGACGGTAGCCCCGTAAGGCTCAAGATAAAAGCTGGCAACAACCTATAAGAAACCAAGCAGCCAAAGATTGTCCTTGAGAAATAAGATGACATTTAATGTAAAAATTCCTTGTCACTGCATTTATTTCCAGTCCTCCAGTCCTTATTTTTTTAGGCATACATGAAAACATGATCTTTAGTTTTTAGAGGGCGTGTCCCCTGGAAGACGAAACCTGGTTACATAATGGCTAGGTACAGATATTTGGGGAGGTTAAATCATGTTAAAAATGGGCACCCAATCTAACTTAGTTTACCCAGGTGTGGACCTTATACTTAGATCCCTAGTTAAGTTGATATAAGTGTGAACTGTACAGAAGTTTAGGAAGATTAGATAGGTCTAAAAAATGGCCAACCTGATTTAAGTTAACTGTACCTTGGAGGTAATCCAATTTAGATTGGGTTTGGTGAAACTGATCTAATTGAACTTCTCTACAGTTCCCAGAATAGCCCTGGGGCTGCACTTTTCCTCCCCTCTCCTCCCCAAACTATTTTTAGCCCCTCAGCCCCTTCCCCGAGACAGACAACTCCCCCAAACAAACCAGCCAGCCCCTTCCCCATAAGCTTGCCAAAGCCCCCACCCTGCAAGCTTCTCTTAGTGCTAATTTTACTGGTATTCACCATTGCCAGGAACCAATGGAAATAAGTCCAGGTGGAGGGAGAGACGGGTGGGATCAGGGGGGTTGGTTCACAGGGGCGGTTGTTTGTCTGGGGGCAGGGGAGGAAGTTGGGGGGGGTAAAAATAGCTTGAGGAAAGCTCCTCCATCACGTCAAACTACCCCCATAGAGACACAAACCCTCCCCTCCTCCGATCCACCCACTCCTCCCCCCACCCCAGCTTACTTTCATCAGGCTCCTGGGACCAGTGACAGCTGCTAAAACTGGCCCCAGGAGCTGTTTGCAGAATCAGGGTGGGAGGCTGGGGAGGTCCATGGGGGTTTGGTGGCATCGGAGATCCTCTCCGATACCTCAAAATTCCCTCACCCTCCAATCCCCCAACCCTGACACAGACCCTGCCTCCAATCCCTCCAAGCCCTCCCACAGATCCTGCCAGCTCCCCACCCATCCCTCCAAGCCCCACCCCATCCCAGCTCCTTAGATCGGGTGGCCATTTTTAACTTGATCTAAACTCCACCTAGCCTCCCTGAATGTCTGTACATACCCAAAATTTCTACTGCAATCAATTATGATGCCATTAGCATAGCATCATAGGTGGGGAAATAAGGGGTGAGAGAAAATTTACTAAAGTCAAAGATCTTGTTGGCTCAAGGTTATCACTTAAATAAGATCTATCAATATTTCCTTTCCCTTTTCCTAACAGAAACACATGCTGATAAAGAGAGGAGCTAATTTTCTCTAAGTTTGTCTGCAATGCACCAATAATCAAAGTTTACAAGCACAAGTCTAATATTTTTCTAGATTTTCCAGAAAGTACCATTTGGTTCTTGCAAAAGTGAGTATTCAAATGAACTCCAAGCACTTCAAAAGGTATATCAAAACAAAGTTTTACTTTTAATCCACGTATGGATGCAGATTTAGATAACTGCAATAAAATTCCATTTTTGTCCATTTTAAAGTATTAAACCCATCTCTTAGAGCAGATCTAGAGATGCTGGCTTCCCAGTAGCTGTAGCATAAGAAACTAGGCCATATTTCTTAGTAGTTGAGAAAGTTCATTACAAATTTGCTTAAAATCTTATTAGTAACCACTTTTCACAAAAGGAATAAAAGCTCTATTTAAATTGCTTGTGTATTTTTAATACCATATTCCCAGACTCAAAACACTCATACATTATGAGCTCATAATTACGTGGCACTGCATATACAAAAGGCAGAAACAGTACTAGGATCCAACAGGGGCTCTTGAAATAATTTACACCATTTATATGAATAATTAAAATGATTAGACTTTTATTCCCCAAAATAAAACACTTTGGATTGCTCAATAATAAGGAGAAGAAAGTTATTAGTCCATTAGTTACTTATGTATCTTTTAGAAACTTCAGAAGATAGAGGAAGTATAAAGTAGAATCATACATTTCAAACTTTTTCATTTTCTTCCATCAGTGACTAATAGTCTCTTACAAACCATATTTAAAAGCAGTTACTTTGGAGCTAAGCATCTTCCCCACCAGGAATAATTTGTTGAAAAGAGAGTAGCTAAAAGCCAATGTGAACATAGCACCCAAAGAAGATATAACTCTCAGATGCCACTGAATGTGTGAGGTGCATTTGAGCTTCATACATCAAATCAAAACTAATGAAAACTATACCGTGAGTTCACAATTCTTATTATATCCCCAACAAAATAATAATCACAATTACAATAATAATAATCACAATATCCCTATACATAATATTTTTCTTTGGAAGACATTTTCAAATTTATTTCATTTGGCTCTTACATATATACTAGTATAAACACACAGTAGTGTGTGTTTCTTGACGTGAAATCATGTATAGCCTGCTGTCCCAACATCCTGTAATTACAAGATCTTGATGCTTTCATTTAGTAGAAAAATAATTTTATAATAAGAATGTAAAAGTTAGAAGAGGTGGTCAAATAAGATGTTACCAAGGGCCAAGGGAACCTATGCTTTCATTTCACATAGAAAAAGACTTACCTTGGTATATTCATCCTTGGCCTTAGTAAGCATCCGTAAGATATCCACTTCTTTGCTATTGCCCGAGTTAAGGAACATTGGGGAGATACCAGCTCCAGTTCCTTGCTGTGCCTTAAATTGTTCCCGCTGAGTTAGGCTGGAAATAAGCAATAGGTAAAGGGGGAATGTATCAGAGAGAAATAAATGGGTGGGTGTGGATGGGTGTGTGCGTTTCGGTTTGATCATGGAAAGAAGTGGATTTTGGGTTTTGTTTTAAAGTAACAGAAAACGAGGATCCCTGCTGATAACTTCATATTTCAAATTGGCATGCCAACTCCACCTACAAAGCTTCCCACCAATTCACTG